ATAATGGGTTAACTGAGGATGAGAGAGTCTGCTGTGTGAATATGCAGTGGTGTGTATTAGAATCATAGTTATGGGGAAAGCTGGATTCAGCATTAAGGGAAGAAGGGAGTTCTTGGGTTTATGAGGCTTTGCGTAACTTTTCAGAAGTTAGCCTGCTGTGTCATGATGCCTAGTGACGTCTTTTCATCATGCTGGATCAGGTGTCTTGAATAAATACTTAGATGATTCAAGCTAAGTGAATCACAGTCCAGATAGAAGCAGGAGACCAGAAAGTCCCAGAAAGGAGGTCTCTGAGAACAACAAAGGAAATGGTAGAACCCTGTGAAGAGCAAACAAACAACAAACAGCCTCTCCCCCGGCATGGGGCTATTCTAAGGACAAAGAGTAAAGAAAAAGCAAAGGCAAATAGAAACCCCAGGAAAAACAAAAGACTTCATAATAAAGGAAATTCAAACAAGTGCGCTATCTCAGGTCACAGTGAAAAACGTTTACATAATCCTAATATTGTAGATAGTGGTTTATAACCAAAAATGTGCCAATGATATTGGAAGATGGGGGCGATGTCAGGTGGTATTAAGGAACTCAGACATTAGCTATCATATAGGGATCATTCATAGATTATCCACAATTGATATTTAAAGCTGATCAATATATAACTGAAGACATGTATTGAGTATTTGCAACTACCAGAAGAAAGGGCTGAAAGTTAAAAGTGACTGTAGTAACCAGAGAAACATGGGTGGGTGGTAGGAAGGGATGGTTTCAGGCTGCTGGGTTTTATTCTTTCAAGGCTACTAAATGTTTTAGAGCCATGTTATTTTAATTTACAATATTACTGAAATATCTGGAGCTCTGCAGGGTCCTGGTGCCCCTGGGAGGTCATGGGCAACCAGCAAAGAGTTCTACCACTAAGAAAAGAGAGCCAGGCTTAGGTCTTGACTGGTGGATGCCCCTTCCCTGGACTCATCCATGGATGGAGAACAGAGAAGACAGCCAGGTTCTGGGTGCCAGAGGAATGCAGCATCCCTCCCTCCTCAGGAAGAGCCCAGCCTCTGGCCTCTAATCACGGCCTGGGGTAAGGGGCGGGGGGTATTTCCTGCAGAACTGGAGCCAGGCCAGAGGAAGGGCAATGGGTGGGGGTCCCTGGGCCAGAGCTGGGGATGCCGGGGGCTGGCCGGATGGTGCGTGTGGGGTGTCACTTACGTGCACATACTCCTACTGCGTACCTCGGGCTGTCCCCACTGTAGTCACAGTAGAGGCCCCGGTGGGGGTCACAGACAGCAGCCTCCGTGCAGTTGTCCCCGAGCTGCTGAGCGCATATCTTACAGCACTCGCAGCCGTCTGTGATGAGGCTGACCCCCAGCGGGCAGCGGGGCGGGGAGGGCGGGCACTCGCACGGCCACTTGCAGAACTGGGGGTGCGCAGAGGTGTCCTCCAGGGGAGCCGGGGTGAAGACCGTGGCCGTGGGAGCTGGAGAGAGGGCCTGCAGGGGAAGGGCAGACATAAAGGGAGCTGCCAGGTAAGGGGTTCAGAGGCCAAAGGTCTGCAGTCACCTTCCCATCTTCATGGTGTTCAAAAGGTTTATGCGAAATTATGTTTCTCCACCATGCTTTTACTAGCCAGATGTCTCCTTTCTCCTCAGTGCAACCATAGGAGGAGCCGGAGTTCAGAGACTTAAGCCAGTTGCCCGAACTCCCCAGCTGGTAGGCCGGGGGGCAGGGGGCAGACTCTAGGTCAGATCTCTGAGCCCCATGGGTGTTTCCTTCCCTTCTGATCATCCCGAAACCTGGGAGGTCCTTGAGTTGGCCTCGATGGAAGATGAGGGAGCTACAGCTTTGAGTAAATGCCTTCTGATGTGGCACGGCCCGCACCCCATCAACTGGTTGCTCTTTTCTCTGTGTCCTAAAGATCTACCCTCTCCACTGAGGTTTCAGGTGTACAGCACAGTGATTCAGTTATACATACATACATATACACGTGCACATATATGTAAATTCTTTTTCGGATTATATCCCCTTATAGGTTATTAGGAGATATTGACTATAGTTCCCTGTGCTCTACAGTAGGTCCTTGTTAGTTACCTATTTTAGATACAGTAGTGTGTATCTGTTAATCCTAAACTCCTAATTTATCCCTCTACCCCCCTTTCCCTTTGGTAGCCATACATTTGTTTTCTATGGCTGTAGGTCTACTTCTGTTTTGTAAATAAGTTCATTTGTATCTTTTTATTTTCAGATTCCACATATAAGTGATATGCATATTTAACATCGGGTTTCAGGCAGGTATTTTTATTAATTTTCTTCTCCTTCTTATTTCCCCTCTGAGCCCCAGGAAAGGGCTGCATGGGTGGCAGCGGTGTCCAGCCTCGTGGCTCCTGCAGCTGGCTTGCTCTGCCTCCGTAGGGAAGGGAGTCATGCTCTTGTTGCTGGTGCAAACCATGCAGAGAGGGGTCTTATTTTGCGCTAAGGGTAACGGACCACCACTCCACTTCCCCCACCTGTACTCCTCCCCAGAACCCCATTCCCATCCCCTAGCCCATATATTCATCTTTATGCTGGCAAATATGATGGACAGGACAACAGGCCAGCAGGGAAGGAGACATAAGTCCCAAAGAGCCCCCCCTGCGCTGAAGATCAGGCAGATAGAATGGGAGGCTGCTCTGGGGTGCCAGCCAGTATTAGGAGCTTCCAACTGCCTGTATCTTAGGGATCCAGTCCCCCGCCCGGCCCCTCTGGCTGCCTTCCTGAACGGCCCTCCTGGCCCCTCACTCTTTATACTGGAGGAAACCTAGGCCCAGGGAGGAAGGGAATTGCCTGAGGATGGAGAGTGGAGGCTGCATTTTCCCACCCCCAGGCGGTGGTTCCTGCTGGGGAGCCTCCTGTCTGGGGCTCCTGAATTCTGAGGTTAGCGGAGGTGGAGCCAGGGCTTGTGCGGGGTGCCCCACGGGCCAGCTCCTCCGTCTTGAACCAGAGCCTGCTCTGTGGACTTACAGATCTGCGCTTCATTCTTTGAACAATAGATGCTGAGATATTCCGACAGATTCCTTCTTTTCCTGAGGAGGAAAGCGAGATCCAAAAGGCAGATGGACACATCCAGGATGACACGGCCCATGTCAGGGCCTAGGCACAAATGACTCTCCAAGCTCTCATTTCTGGGACCTTTACCTCTGCCCCCTCTGGGCTCTTTCAGTCACTCCACAAACATTTGCTGAGCTAGCTCACCATCTCTCTTAAGTTTTAGGCATTTGAAGATGAAGTTAAAAATGTCCTGTGCTTGTGGTGCCACAGCTTATAGGAGAGACAGTTATTCGAGGTGATTTATCACAATGTGAGGTCGTGTGTGAGTGCTGGGCACCGGGGCAGCCCCGGGAGCTCTCTGACTACCGGGGCAGGAAGCTCTCTGCCGAGGTGAGTGGTGTGCATCCTTGAGTGCTTGGCTGTGAGAACCAGAGACCAGGAGAGATGGTCCAGGTTGAAGTGTTGGATTAGTTGGGCTCTTGGTTCTGTGCTCGGCACATAACAAGTGCAGTAAATATTGATTTGACACATTAAGGGCCTTTGAAAGTCAAAAATGCAAACGTTGATTTGAGGCTTTCATCACCTCTAGGCTTGGTTTCAGGCAGGTTTGCTGGTGGGGAGCAGATTGCGCTGGAGGTTGGCAGGGCTTGTCTGTGTTCATCGGGAAAGCATTTAGGTTACCTTCCTTTGTTTGCTTTTCCTCGAAAAGTACAACGTGACACACAAAACCCCAAACCCCCAAATCAATGAAACCACACACTCACACATACACACACACACACACACACACACACTCACACACCCTCATCTTTCTGACTCTATGCAGAGAGACTTTTCCTTGTCAGTCTGTGACAGTGGAGGCCTGGAGCTTTATGAGTCCCCCAGACCACCTCTGACAGTCTCTAGACCCTCAAGACCTACTCTTGGCAGAGGAAATTAAAAAAACCCTCTCCTCCAGGAAGCCTTCCATGCCTTTCCCAGGTTGTATTAGAGGTGCTGCCTCCCCCACTAAAATGTGAACTTGTAAAGGGCAGAGTCTGTGCCTTACTTCTCTCTGTGGGCCTGAAACACGGCTCACGGCCCACAGCAGGGCTGTGTAAGTGTCGCCTGGTGGAATGGATGGATGGGGAATTGTTGACTCTAAGGGGCTTTGGTGTCTCTTGATTTTCCAGGGTCTACCATCTTGGAAGCTTTTTTCTCTGCTCTAAGTTTGAGGGTCAAGAAAACAGCATGGGACCTGAGACAGTCAGAAGTGGGTTCTCTGTGTCCTTGGACAAACTTTCTGAGCCTCAACATCCCCATCTGTGAAATGGCCACAGTAATGCCCCCTCGGGAACTGTTGGGAGGGTGGAGGCATTGTGTACGCAGAAGCACTGTGTATGCAGGCCTGGCAAAGGGCAGACACTCGAAAGCACGACTTTGCCCTTGCGCTCCCTTGCTTGTGCACCCTGCCTCGCACCCACACAGCCCAGCACAAGACTTGGGGGTCTGGACACTTTGAACTGAGCTGGGATGGTCTGGAATCTGGATAGTAACAACCTCCACGTGGTTACTATCCATCCTGCTGTCTCCATACCAAGTTAAACCTCCCCAGAAGGAAGCCTCATTTCCAAGCACATGCCGGGAGCCCCAGGGCACTCAGCTCCTCAAGGGGAGCTGCAGAGAAGGCCCCCGCCTTGGATGAGGGAAGCAGGTGATGGCACCCTGGGGCAGTGGAGGGAGGGGCCCCGGGTCCCCTGAGCCAGGCCCTTGCTGTTGGCGCCATCTAGTGGTAGAAATCTCCCATCCCTAGAAGGTCCTTGATGAGAGCTGTGGGGTGGGAAGACCTTTAGACCCCAGGGCCTGAGGACTCCTCATTTTGGTGCATGACCCTCTGAATCCCGACTGCCTTGTCCAGCACCCACACCCCAGGGAAAGTGACTGCACACACACACACACACACACACACACACACACACACATCAGCCACCTTGAATACCCAAGATGGCACTGCATGTCCGCCTGCCCTTGGTCACGGTACAGGGACTATTGCAAACTCACTGGGCCTACGTCATTTTTTATAACAGCAGAAGCTAAGGGTGAACAAAGGGAAGGAAAGCAGTCAGAAAGCAAGGAGAATATCTATCGTCTGGAGAAAAAGCCAAAGAGAATCAAGAAGAGCCCTGGGTACTTGCAAATTGCAGCTGTTCACATAAGAGTCTCTTTTACAATGTGCTTCTGCATGTGGACTCCCCTTGGACACCACTGTGTTTACAGGAGACAGGAGGGTGGGGCTGTGCCCTGATGCTTCCCGGGCTGGGCACCCAGGGCTCAGGCTCCTGCCTGGTTCTGCCCGCTCAACCCCTCAGCTCCTGGGCTGAGCCCACTGCCCACCTCCATCCTCAGAGACCCCAGGGCAGTGCCTCACACAGTCACTTCCTACCATGGCTCCCAAACGTTGCCGCATGTTAGAACCACCCAGAAGCTTTGATAAACACTGATGCCCGGCCACTGTCCGCAGACAGCCTGACTGAAGTGGTCTGGGCAGAATCCTGGGCACTGAATGCAGCCGAGGGTGACAAGGGTCCACTTGCCTAAGGACCTGGTTAAGATACAGATGCCTGAAGCTCACTTGGAATATTCAGCTTCAGCTCTTCTATGCTGGGCCCAGAATGTACATGTTGACCTGCACCTCTGGTGATTCTTGTGAGAATGGGAACCCTCGTCTTAGAGAACTGGGCCAGGGGAGGGTACGATGGGGAGATTCTAGGCCATTTTCCTTTCTTAACATGACTTTTCTAGAACATCACTTACACGCCTAACCTGTCGACAGCTTGATCAACCTTCCACAAAGCAGTCCAGGCCAGACTGCAGAACACACACCGTTTTCGGTAAGCAGGCCTCATGTAGTTAATTGAAAATGATGTACTTTGCTTTTACTGTTTTGTGAGAAAGACTGAAAAATGAAAGAAATAGAAAAGGAGCAGCTCCCCATGATAAGACCCCTAAGTGTCAGCTGGGTACTGAATGAATGTGTCCCCTCAAATTTATATGTTGACGTTCTAACCTCTCTAAAGGTCATGGTATTAGGAGGTGAGGTCTTTGGGGGGTGATGAGGTCATAAGGGTGGAGCCCTCATGGAAGGGATTAGTACCCTTTTAAAAAGGAACGCAGAGAGCTCCCTGGCTCCTTCCACCATGTGAAGACACAATGAGAAGATGCCAGTTATGAAAAGGGTCCTCATGTAGAATGTGACCATGCTGGCCTTGACCGTGGACTTCCAGCCTCCAGGACTATAAGCAATAAATTGTTGTTTGTTAGCTACCCGGTGTGTGGTTTCCTAAAGAAGCCCAAAGGGACTAAGACCATGTCTGCTACTTAACCCTCTGGGCAGGGGGGGTAATCAGTAGGCAGGTTGGAAGCAATGAATCAATCCATTTAATCATATTTATTGGACAAACTTAAGCAGATTCAAATTAAGAAGGAAAACATTTTTACAACAATAAATGGTGGTAGGCATGGGAGCAGAGAGTAGGAGGCTGGCAGTGGTGGGGTGCCACCCTGAGACCTTAATCATCCTGATCGATGATGGAGCCAGACCCCACCATCCTCTGAGAGTGTGTGTGGTTCATCGATGAACAGGGCCCTGGGACCAGGAGGAAAGGGCAGGGCACCTGCAGTGAGTGGAACCCATTTCCCAAGGCTCTGTGACCTGGGGCCGTGCTCACCCTCTCTGAGCTTCAGTTTCCTCATTTGTAAAATAGTAATGATGACAGCATCCTCCAGCAGCCCTAATGAGCAGTTGTAGTCTTACCTCCATTTTACGGATGAGGAAACTGAAGCTCAAAGAGCTTAAGTAACTTGCTCACAGTCTCACAGCTGAGAAGGGGTCTCTGAGTGTCCCCAGAGTGTCCCTCCAGAGGGACTTATCACCATGCTGCCCTACTCCTTCATTCCTTCACATTCATATCCATACATTCATTCCTCCATCCTCCCATCACACACATGTACTAAGCGTCTCCTGCGCGGTTGGTGCTCAGATGAACAAGGCGTGTGGTTCTTACCCGAAGGCAGTCACAGTATGGATACACACACAAGATTACAGCACGGGGTGGTGACAGTTGTAATTCATCTGAGCCCAAGCTTCCAGGGGTCCCCGGAAGAGGAGATGGGAGCCTCTCGCGGGGCTTTTCAGGGACAGATTGCCCTTTCTTGACTCCTAGGTGCTCAACACTGAGCCTGGCACACCGTGGGCTAGTGCTTCATGAATGGAAGGGATGGTAGAGAGCTTGGGCTTGCCCACGTTTGGGCGGCCACCCCCAGATGCTCCACCAGGGGGCAGGGTTGAGACAGGAATGGCCTGAGCCAGCCTCAGCTGGGCCCTGGGGGGTTTTCGGAAAGGGCTGCCTTGTCTGGAATCGGTTTCTGTTTTGCTCCTTCCCTGAAAAGAGGCCTCGGTGGGCAGTGGGAGAATGTGGACACAGACCTGGGTCCAGAGCTGGGGATGCCCTGTGGTCAGCCCTCTCCGACCGTTTGCTCTCACTTTTCTGGTGTAACAGGCGGCCACCATGTGACCTGGTGGACACATTTTCTGAGCATCTCCTCCTCCGAGGATACCCCTAGGGGTCTGTACCCAGGGCTTGGTAGGAATGCCCTGCAGGTGGGGTCACCGTCTTGGAAAACTCTTAGCTCAACCCCCCCCAAGTCACCTGGCCTGAGTGTTTGGAGGACCCAGCACTGCCCAGAGCCTTCCATGCTCACTCTGGTTCCGATGGCAGGATCTCTAGGGACGTGAGGCCCAGCGCTGGCCAGGCTGCACGTCTTGGGAGGTGGAAGGTTTGTAGAGCTTTTCTGCTAATTAGTTTTACAAACATGCAGTCTTATGAGCGTCTGTTTGGAAAAGTCGACTTTATATGGAGAAGGTAGAAAGGGCAGGAAGCCAGATTTCTTTCCAAATAACGAGCCCTCATGAATTTGTTCATTCATCAAATGAATATAAAGCATCTACAAAGTTCCCCGTATAAAGTCTCAGGGAGCGCCCAGCCTCCCCAGGAGACAGGAGTATGAAAAAGGCAATTGCATTATAGAGCAAGGATCAGAAACCAGCCCCCAGGGACATCCCACCCACAGCATTTTTTGTAACAGACTAGAACAGGTTCTACACTTTTAAAAGGCTGTAAAAAAAAACAAAAAAGAAGATTCCATGGAAAGCCTGTAGTCCACAAAGCTTAGGATATTTACTCTCTGGTCTTTTTTTAGGAAATGATCGCTCACTTCTGTTATAGAGTGACAGTGCTATTAATAAGAGCTAACCCTGACGGAGTGCATAGCCAGTGGTGGGCATTTCTACCAGGGTTATGTATAATCAAACTTAAAACGTGTTCATTCTTTTTTGGGGACGTGTTCAAATATTTACACTGTTGGGAGAATAATATAATGAATCTCACATACCTATTCCCGCTTCAATAATTATCAACCAACCTCTGTCCATCTCCTTTCCTCTATTTCTCCCGCCTACACACATACTTTTTCATTCTTGAGAATTTCAAAGCAAATCTCAGACATCATGTGATTTTACCTGAAATTCTTCAGAGAGTGTCTCTAAAGTATGGAGAATTAAAACAAAACAAAACAAAACAATTTTCACACCAATTAACTTAGTTTGGTTACAATTTTGTAATTTTCCCTATAGCAAATACTTAGTCCGTATTCAGACTTCACTGATTATCTCAAAGCTTTAAAAAAAAATCAGATGGTTTCTATGAATCAAGATCAAAATGAGGTCTACATGGTCTGCGTTTTGCCTTTTATGCCTCTTTTATTAGCTTCCACGCTAAGTCATCTAGTCGTTGTGAGAACCCTAAGAGGCAGGCTGCTTTTATAATCATCTCCCCCAGTTTACAGATAAGTAAACTGAGCCACAGAAAGGTCAGATCATTTGCCCAAGACCATTCACAAGTGGCAGAGTTGGGATCTGAACCAGTATCAGTCTCTTAAGGCATCACACCCAAGGGCCACAAGGCGGGGTGTCTCAGCAGAGTCTAGGGTCTATGAGAGCAAGGTGAGAAGGGAAGGGATGGGGCCGTGGAAGCAGGGAGGGCTTCCTGGAGGAGGAGCCATTTGGTCTGCATCTTTAAAGGATGACTGAGAATTGACCAGAACGGCAAAGAGAACATCCAAGCTGAGGAATGGCATGAGCAGGGGCGCGCGGGTGCTTCAAAGTGGCATGGAGCAGGAATGACCAGTGCACCGTTGCTGGGGCTTAGGGCTCAAGGACACGGGGAAGGCAAGCAGGCCTCATGGCCAGAGGACCTAAGGGTCATGCCTGGGACGTGTGCGCCTGCTGGGGGGAAAACGGGGATCTCTCCTGAGTCAGCCAACCCACTGTGCCAGGCAATGACCAGAACACCCCTGTAAGGGCAGCGCTGATGGTCTCCATTTGACAGATGGGGAAACTGAGGCCCGTGGAGGTTAGAGACACAGCAAGACAATTATACACTCTGTTCTGACTCTGGGTCTCGTATTCCCCCAGCAACCTCTAAGAGACCCTGTTCTTGCCTGATTTCCAGTTCATTCAACTCACGAAAAGGAGCAGAGAGCCTTCCACATCCCAGGCCTGGCTGTGGTGGTGGCCATGGCTGACCAGGGAGGGGACCAGCCCTGGAGCAAGAGCTAGTACAGACACAGGGGGAAGAAGTTGCCCTCTGAGCTTAAGCCTGTTCTGCATACAAGGGAAGAGCTAGCAGCCGTCCAGTAGCACAGAGGGAACCGTCTTCAGCCCCTATGGGTGGACCTGTAGGTGGGAGGCCCTGGGCTGCAGCCCTGATGCTGAGACTGTGGCCTTGGACGAGCTGCTTGCCCCCCTGACAGGGCAGGGGCAAGTGGGCTGAGGCAATCCCTCTGGCGCTGTCTGACTCTGACCATCGGCTCACTGAGCTGGGCCTCCGATAAGGCCTCCCCTCCATCCACTGCCTGGACCCCGACCGCCCCCCCTTCCCTCCTCCTGGATGGAGCCCTGTCTCGGGTGGGGAGGGCAG